GAGGCAGTGCTGCTAGGGGCTCAGTACGAGGAAGATGTTTCTGGCAATGAGAGCTGCCCAACAGTAAAATGGACTGTCTCAAAAGGTAAAGAGACTGCCTCAGACAATGGCCAGCTGTGTGACCCTGAGCTAGTCACTTAATCTTTGTCTGCCTCAATTTCCTCAACAGTAAAATGGGGATAATAACACTTACCTCATAGGGTTGCTGTGAGGCTCAAATTAGATAGTCATTGTAAAGCACTTAGCACATCGCCTAGCACATAGTTGGTGCTTAATAAATGTTTGTTCCCTTTCCCTTCCCCCCTCCCCAAAGAGCCCCCCAGAGCAGGATAGGGATCAAGAAAAGGATGGATGACCACCTGAAAAAGGTACTATAGAGGGGATTCCTACATGGTGACCAGGATTGTATTGGGTGACCTCGAAGGACCCTCCTAAAATGTGGAGAGGAGTCCATTTCAGGAGGTCATAGATACCACATGAACCTCTATGCCACATCTTATGCCTTCCAGTATATCACCATTTTCAGTTGAGAAACAAATACCATGTCAAGATCAGTGGTTTCTCTGGTATAAAACAGGGGTTTTTAATCTGGGGTCCATAAACTTGTTTTTTTTTAATATTTTGATAACTGTATTTCAACATAATTGGTTTCCTTCATGTATTTTATTTTATACATGATTCTGAAAAGAGGTCCACAGGCATCCTCAGACTGCCAAAGGAGTCTACAATACACAAAAATGAAGGATCCCTGCTACAGAACTCCCTCTACCTCCTCAGATCTCAACTTGTCTATAACTTAGTAGATATTTTTTAAAAGTTGATTTAGGTTCAGAAAAGTGAAATTACACATCCAGAATCACATAACCAGAATGTTGTCACAGAAGCAGGACTTGAATACAGGTCCTATGACTACAAGTCCAGCACATTTTTCATTATATCACACTAACTCTCAGAGATAAACATAAATGTTGGGAAAATATGTCATCAAGAGCTTTTCTCCTCTTTGGGCTGTGTAAGATGAGATGTACGGTATGGAGACATCAGCACCTTTAAAATGGTTGTGATCGATTGTAGATTACATTTCCCCTTTATTTATCAGTATTCTCCTTCAGCTAATAACATTACCCTCCAGAAATATGCACTGTGAACAACTCTGCTTAAGATTCTTGAGTGGGCATTCATTTTGTCTCTAATTTACAGTAATCCGGCACCATTTTCTCCCTGCTTCCATTAGTGAATCTAGGAACATGGACGGTCGGAGAAGTATTGCACATTATACAGGTTTACCACAGACCTTAGAACACACCAAGTCTGGCTTTCCCCCAAAGCTTCCAACCACTAGCTCTGACCCTTTTAGGCCATTCAATAGGCAAAAACCTCCAGCTCTTTCCAGTGGCCACTAGAAGGTACTCCCAAATTCAGCACCTTGGTCAGAGCTCAGATATCTGTCACAGTATTTGACTGATAGGTTAAATGAGCACTGGAAAGCTATATTGTATTTTAGCATGGTATTTTCTATATTAAAATGAAACCCAAGAGAGAGTTTTCAGTAGACTCAGAAGTGCCCGTTGACATGGTCCCTGCCCTTATGAAGTTTACCATTTGATGAAGCTACCAGTCCTCTCTCTTCAGAGCAGCATTTTAAAGGGAAATGTGCTGGTCAGAGTCTTGGAGCCAGGAAGACCTGAAGTTTCTGACACCGACTAGCTATATGACTGTGAGTAAGTCACTTGCCCATTCTGAGCCAAAGCTTCATCATCTGTAAAATATATATAGCAATAGCACCTACCTTTGAAAGGCTATCATGAGGATAAATGTAGGCTATTATTATTTCCTGGTGTGGTGAATCTCTCACAGCTCAGATCAGAAAGGGCAAATCCATGAGCCCATTGGGACAATTGTAGTGGGGAAATATAAGCAGAATCAAGTGGCCCACATTTGAATTCCAGGGGGACATTCTGGTGAACTCTACCATGAAGGGCTGGGGAGATCTGTAAGGAGGGGAACTTCATTTAAAATCTCTCTAGTAGCTTGACACCCCTGAAGGGCACAGACTTTCCTCCTCCCACTCACACCTCCATCCACTAAAGCTCCTTGGGAAATAGGGGGCCAGTTGGATTTTTGGCTGACTTAGGCAAAGCAGAAACCCTTTTTCTTCCAACCCTGCTTACTGGGTTCCTTTTGAGAATGCCTGAATTCTCTCCCCTGGCCTCTTCATTAAGTCTAGTCCAGCAAAAATGATTGAATGGTTGCTTGCTGATGGAGGCTTCTGAGCAGGGCCCCTCAGGGTCAGAGGCAAGTTAGTGTGAGGTAGGCAGCGCAGACTTGGGTCTCTGGTCCTAGCTTTGCCACACCAGAGCCACAGAATTTTATGCCAGCCCCTTCCTCACCTCTGGGGCTCAGTTTCCTCCTCTGAAAAAATGAGGGGGTTGGGTGAGAAGATGGGGAAAGAAGGAACTGACAGATCTACCATTTTGTTCATCTATTCCTTTCCCACTTTTCTGAATGGAAAGTGAAAATGGGGGAAATTCAGGAAATTGGGTTGACTATACCCAGATCCTAGGACACAAAGGCCCATTACTCTGTTCGGGGATTTCACTGAATCCTTGCTATAAACTGGGTCATTTGGCCCCTTCCTTTAAAGGATAGAGGAGAGAAGGGTGAAGTAGATGCTGGTTAATTGAGGGATCTAATCACTCAAGACATTATTTTTCCTGTATTTTTCCAGCACTAGCCCTGAGGCTAGACCATGAGAGTCTGATTACAAAGGTTGTTACTGAGCCCCCTTTTCCTCTAGAAGTTAATCTCTGGCATTTTCTTCCCCATACATGGGATGAATCATAAATGCACCCCCCCTTTCCAGGTTATCAGTCCTCAATTCTTTCCTTTCATAAGCTGAATATCCCCCCATCTTGCCAATAATTGGCCTTAGGGCTCTAACTACTTCTAAAAGGTGCAATGGTCCCCCAGAATGGTAGATGCCTGCATTTTCTGTCTCATCCCAGCTGAATTTTGACAGTGAGCTGTCCAAGGTGGAGCACATGTCCTTTATGCATTGTTTCAGTCATGGGCTGTCTCAGGCTCTCCAGAAGTAAGGAATAGTAGAGTAGTAGCCAGACAATGATCTACTATGTTAGTTTTGCTCTACTGAGCCGGTATCAGGGAACATCAAAGTGATGTACCATATGTATGTATGTGTATGTATGTATGTATGTATATATGTGTGTGTGTGTGTCTTTGAGGCAATTTTTCCAGGTCAGGGGAGGGAGGGTGTTGCAACAAGCTGGCTCAGGAAGCTAGAAGCCTCACTTCCACACTGTTTTCATCTCTGAGCAACACTTGTACAAGTCTACACAAAGGCTGGCAGTCCCAAGCTCTACTCCATACCACCTCCCCAGGCATAAGCCTAGGACTTGCTGTCACCCTTTCACCTAGTAGCTCACTGGCCTCTAGCTAGTAACAACTTTCAACTCTCCCCCCCAAGTAGGGGAAGGGCATAGAAGATACTTTGGGGGGGGCTAGGTTCACTTTCCAAGAACAGAGTACCCCTTCATGCAACACCCCTCAAGCACAACCACCATCACAGTTCCCAGAAGCCAAGTACAAAGTAAGAAAGCAAACAAAACTTCTCCAGTCCTCTGTATCTCCAGGTCATGAACCTGACCCCAAGACTTTAGGGATCCAGGGGAGATCAGCAGGCCATAGCCAAGTCCACACAGGAAGGGAAAGAGGGAGGGAGGCTGGGTGGAGGGAGGGAGAGCGCACCCTGATTGCATCTGGGAACAGTGGCCTCTTCCCAAGCCTACTACTCTCTGCCTTTTTCTGCTCCCCCTCCCAGATCAAACTGACCCTTTGTTTCTTGAAGGAAGAGTTAGCATTCCCCTTATCTCCCCCCCCCATCACCTCTGAACCCAAGAAGCATGTCCCTCCCACTCACAGTCTTACCTGACTTCTCCACTCCGGAACAACCAAAGGAGCAAGGGCCTCTCTCTAAGTCAACCCCTCAAGCCAGCAGGTGTTTCTGGTCCCCCTTCCAAAGGGTACAGCTCACCCAGCCACTGCATTTCCCCCACATTGCTAAAGGAGGAGGGACTAAGGAGGGAGCCAGCCCTGTGGGGAGGGGGGAGGGGGAGGGAGTGTTTCGGAATCTGACTAAATCTCCATGCCAGTCTCAGGGTCGCAACTACCTGTCCCAAGTGTCCAGTCCCCAGCCTGGGGACCAGCCGCGAACTGTGCTCAACAGCCCCAGGGCGTTTAAATTGGGCCCTCGTCCCTATCCCCACTTGGGTACCAGGGCGGGCTCCTTCCTGTCCCCAGGCAGGAGCTGTTATTTACAACTTTGCTGCACACTTGCAGCTGGCAAGCAGGCAGGGAGAGAGGGAGAGGAAGGGAGGAGGGAAGGAAGGAGGGAGGGAGGGAGGGGACAGAGGGAAAGTGCAGTTAAGCAGGAGGTCCTGTTTCTCTGATGGATTTTCTCTTTGTGGAGTAGCTGCTGAGAAAGGGTTAAAGACACACCAGCCATTTCCCATTCCTTGCCGGTCCCCAGCCCCTGGGTGAGAGGGGCAGGGCAGGGAAGCTCTTACATGGGGGGAGGGGGGAGGGGAACAGTTGGTCGTGGGAGGGGGCTGGGGGCTTTTTGTTTGTTTCTTTATTCCGTGGCTGCCAGGTTTCCCAGAGCAATTTGCAAGGTCAAGTCTGACCTGCTTCCAAACTGGAACGAAGAGCAAACAAAGAACCCAACAGTTCTAGCCAGTCTTCCCACAGCCCCCGACCTTCACCCCCCCATCCTCGTATAGGGCTCCCCTAGCCCCCACCCCTGTTCCCATTTGTCGTGGAGTGGGGGGGCTGACCCCACCAGAAGGGAGGGAAACATCGTCCGAGGGCAGCGCATCTCAGCCCCTGCCTGGCATCACAAGGAAAAGAGGATCAGCATGGGGGGGGGGCGCGCAGTGGGGAGGGATGAGGGGGATAGAAGGGAAAGAAACATTTGTATGTCTTACCAGTCTCCACAGTCACTTCCCTGAAGCTAGGAAGAGACAAAGATGAAGGGACTGAAACAAGTTAGAGCTTGGGGGCTGGCGGTGCTGGGCTTCCTTCCTTTTCTTTCTCTCCTACTTTCTTTCTCTCTCCTCTCTCTCTCTCTCCCCCCCCCTCCTCCCTCTCTCTCTCCCCCCCCCCCCCCCCCCCCTTCTCTGTCTTGTCTATCTGGCTGGCTAGGTTTGCATTCACCAGCGGCTTGAGCACGCTGCTGCTATTCCAGAGCTCAGAACACAGGCTCAGTCAGGATCTGTGCCCAATTCGGTTGAGACTAAAGTGTTTTATTCTTTAAGGTACCAGCAGTGAGGAGGGCGGGCTGATTGGGGGTGGGGGGACAGGGAGGGGGAGAAGGGAAGAGGAGGGAGAGGGAGAGAAGAGAGAGAGGGAGAGAGAGAAAGGGAGAGAGAGGGAGAGAGAGAGGGAGGGAGAGAGAGAGGGAGAGAGAGAAAGAGAGAGAAGATGGGAGGGAAGGAGAGAGAGCTGTGTGTGTGTGTGTGTGTGTGTGTGTGTGTGTGTGTGTGTTATTATAGGGACAGAGATGGTACTCCTTCTTTGGCTGTTCTAAGGTTGGTAATGAGAAGTGAGAGTCTCCTCCCTTTCTGCTTTTCTCCTTCCCTTTCTTCATCCCTCCCTCCCCCTCTCCTTTTCTGCCCAGCTCCAGAGAAGGGCTTAACAGTCATGCCTCTCCAGATTTCATCTCAAAGGGGTGCAATGAGACAGAAAATGCACATCAGGGGCACTTCATCTACACCTATCAAAGTGAGGCACACAACATCCTTCCCAGGGCTTCAAACCCCACCCCCTTCACACAACTCCCCCACACACCTAGGTGAGAAATGCTACAGCCTATAGCGTTGGGCTGCCTATAACTATCTGCCAGCCTGTAGACCAGAATGGCCCAACAAGCCGGGAGCTAGGCCAAACAGGGCCTTTAAAGCCCCCTGAAGGGGATAAGGAAGTACTTTGGCCCCAGTGGACTGCCAGGCACAGGGAAATTTTGAAGGGAAAACAAAACCTCCTACCTGTTGAACTAGAATACTGGGGCAGGGGACAGGAGCAGCAGGCTGGTAGGGAAAGGGCCCTAGAGGGATCTCAGGAAGCCTGGGTTCCATTCTCAGCTTTATCACTCCCTAGCTGTGTGACCTTGGGCAGAATCTTTGCCCTCTCTGTGCTTCAGCAGTCTCTACAAAATGAAAGGGTGGGATGAGGTGAGCTCTGAGGTTCTTTCCATCCCTAACTTCCTGGATTAACTTTAGAACAGTTTTTGTTGTTGTTTAGTAGCGTCTGACTCTTCGTGATCCCATTTGAGGTTTTCTTGGCAAAGATCCTAGAGTGGTTTGCCCTAGAACAGGGTAGTCCAGTCTAAATGAAGCTCAACTCTGGTTTATATACCCACTTGGGAACAGGACTGGACTCTGAGGCAGGAAGGCTTGAGTTCAGAGCCTTTCTCCTGACACTAATCAGCTATGTGACCCTGGCCAAGTCACTTCACCCTTCTAAGCCTCAGTTTCCTCATTTCTAAAATGGGTTCAGAATATCCACATTGCCCATTTCACAGAATTGTGAGCAGGCCCATTTAAGATGAGAAATATCAAGCACTTTGCAAACCTTTAAGTGCTATCTAAATATCAGTTATTGTTATTAACATTTTCCTTTTAACAACAAAGACCACACGGCCACCAGCAAATGGTAAGAACTCTATTCCTCCAGGGGGCACTTTCAAAGAAGCTAATTGCTCTGGGTACATTCCTTGGCTTCAGTGGTGAGAAATGACCTTGAAATGTCATTTAATCCACCCCCCTGCCTTTAAACCTGCTCCTACCTAGACCATTGAAGACAGGTGTTTTAAAAGCCTTCCAGAAAAGGAGCCTCCCTGCCCTCTCTCTATGATAAGGATGGTACCAAGTCTCATCTGGGTACATGATGATACAATTATGTGTGACCTAGAAACCTTTGTTGCCCCAAAGGGGAGGGCATGTTTAGGCTTTCTGCATCATCCCCTGGCCCCCAGGTATAAGAATTACAGCCCTTTCAGGCAACAAATCTAAATTGGCAGGGGGGGTGGGGGGGGTGGGTGTTCACTTTAATCATCTCAACACCAGATTCCCCAAAGGGTTGGTGATTGTAATTACAACTCCCGTTCGATGAACACTTCACTGACCACTCACCCTCCCCTCCCCTCTCCTCTTCACTCTCAGATAACCATCCTGCTAGACACCCTATCCCCACCTCCCCCATCTTTCACTGCTCTTTGGAATTTGTGCCTGTAGCTGTGTGTCTGAATCATGACTATGCCTGTGGTCAAGCAGGTGCTTATGATTCCGAGTGGGGAGCTTTGTCCTGGATTGGAACTGTGTTCAACCAGGGGTGGGGAGGATATTTGATTACATGTGAATATATATGTGTATGTCTGTGTATATATATAGTATGTATATATATTTTATGTGTGTGTGTGTGTGTGTGTATAGATAGATAGAGAGAGAGACACAGAGAGAGAGAGAGAGAGAGAGAGAGAGAGAGAGAGAAACACCTCAGTTTAGATTGAGGGGAAACCCATGGGAGATTAGATTGTCAGATTCTAGCCCTACCTCCTTTTTTTTTTTAACAGATGAGAAAACTAAGGGTCTCAATAGGGAAGAGGACTTGCCTGAAGTCACATAGTGAATCACTCCTAAATCACAATAAATCTTTATTTAAAACCTACTATGTGGGAAAACCCTGGGCTAGGGAAGCCTGGGGAAGATACAGTGTTCACATAAAATGCTGTCCTGACCCTCATGGAGCTCACAGTATTGTACTGTAGGGGGATAAGATAATAATATTAAGCTTTAAGGTCTGCAATGTATTTTATATGTGTATATATATATATATATATTTTATATATATATATAATATATATGTCTATAAAATCTCATTTGATCATCACAACCCTTTGAGATAGGTCCTATCATCATCCTTATTACACAGATGAGGAAACAGATGTTGAGTGATTTGTCGCGAGTCCCCCAGCTAGTGTCTGAGGTGGAATTCTAACCTAGGTCTTCCTGACTCACAGGTCAATGCCCTCTCCCCTAGTACATGATGTCTCTTCCAAAGGATAGGCTGGAGTCTCAACAGGCGAAGATGGAGAGGAAAGACATTCCAGGTGTAGGAAAGAGCCAAAGCCAAAGGACAGGAAAAGGCAAGTTCAGGACATTTTGTGGGCAAGGCAGACAGGTGGCCAGTTTAGCTAATGGCTTTCATGTATGTTGAGAAGTGATTATCATGCAAACATGAAATCTCCAGGCTAGAGACAGTCTAGGCCAGGGGTGGGGAACCTGCAGCCTCAAGGCCACATGTGGCCTTCTAGGTCCTCAAGTACAGACTTTTGACTGAGTCCAAGTTTTACAGAACAAATCCTTTTATTAAGAGAATTTGTTCTGTGAAGTTGGGATTCGGTCAAAAGGCCACACTTGAGAACCTAGAGGGCCACACATGCCTTCAAGGCCGAAGGTTCCCCACCCCTGGGTCTAGTCCATGCCCCTCATTTGGCCTATCAACCTGTAGGAGGCTATCAGGTTACCCCCTTTCATCTTCTCCCTATCCCTTTTTCTCTGCCATTGACACCCTTTGCTGCCTCCTCTCCAACATCATCTAAGGGGGCATTGATCATTGTGTCAGAAACCATTTCTGCCTATTGTGTGGGTTCCAAGATTGTTCTGGGACCAATGGGAATTCTGCATGTCACAGATGGACAGCTTTGAATATTAGGGAAATGGAAGAGAGATAAGGGGACAGATTTTCTTGGGTTGTCTACTTCAAAGTGAAAAATAACCTGCTATTTTGAGTCTCCAAAACTGGTCCTACTCATCTCCAGCCCATGGAAAAGTGCAGTGTTCCATGAACTGTGCTTTATAAGGGAGCTTGAACCCAATAAAGAAACAGACTTTGGGCCCAGGTTAAGAAATCATTTGCCCAAAGCACTAATTTGATTAGATTCAATAAGCACTTATGAAGTGCCCACTATATGCACGGTGCCAGATGCTGGGGCTGCAAAAGCAAAACTGAAACAGTCTGTCATTCAAGTGCTTATGGTCTCCTGAAGACTTTGAAAATGGTTATCCATGTGGGCCACCACAGTCGAGGTTACTGACATGCCTGAAGTACACTCCTCTCTAGGCGCCTTGCTGGATGAACTGGTGGTCTCTTTTGGACACCAACAGAGGGCAAGGGAAAGAGCATTCAAGCACAACTGGGCCCTTAAAAGAGCTTCTGTCTCCAGCAATGCCATCATTGCCTCGTTTGGCCATCAACAGGCCAGTTCTGGGAAGTCTCCGGGATCGATGGAAGGAATGCAAGCTTCAGAGTCAGAGGACCCAAGCTCTGATCCCAGCTCCCTCACTTAATACCTATGCGACCTTGACCTCTCTGAACCTCAGGCCCTTCCCTCTTTAAAAAGAGTGATAAAGTATTCATTAAGTACTCTTAGGCTCTGTGCTAAGTGCCAGGAACAAAAATACAAGCCAACAAAACAGTCTCTGCCCTCAGGAAGCTTACATTCAAATGGAGGACGACAGCATAAAAAGGGGAGTTAGAAATGGGGAGAGGGCACCCGAGAGGAAGCTAGGTTGCTGATGAAGAGGCCAAGCCCATAGAGTTGAGTTGAACAAGGAGTGAAGTGAGCATGTCCTATGAACTTCATGAAATAGTGATCTGGGCTATGGACTCTGCTGTCCTGAGAGTAGGTATCAGGGCGGAAGCATCTTTGGCACAGGAAGGTAATGGGAAGAGTGAGTTGGACTAGATGCCTTCAGAGATCCCTTCCAGCTCTGGGTCAATGAGCTTATGGTCCATGGGCATGCGCAGGTATACCTGACTCAGGGTTCTCTTGGGGGAGGGGCAGGACATGGAGAAGGAGTGATTTTCAATGGGCTTCAGACAAATCTTCCACTCAGCTATCTTGTATCAGCTCCACTCCCTTTGTTGAATGCCACTCCTTCTGCCTGCCCTCCTTCAGCAAATATTTAGTGATATCAAGGCAATGTGTTTCTCCACAG